AAATCTTTAAAAAAAATTAAGAATGAACCTGATGTAAAAATGTTCTAAGACTGTGGTGGTGGTGGCACAACTCTAAGAATGTACTAAAAGCCACTGAAGTGTGCACTTTAAACAGGTAAGTTATACGGCATATGAATTAAAATCAATAAAGCTGTTGAAAAGATTAAGAGACTGAATAAAATCATTTCATAAAATTCGAAAGTGACAAAGGTAATATTTCTATATTTTGGACATGTGTGAATAATTTAAATAACAGACATTTAATGATTTCATTTGACTATTTCCTCCATATGCCCAAAAGTTTATAAAATCAAATTCCAGGGATCTTTGCATGGGAAATTGGAAAATTCTCTTATATTCAAATTGTCTCATATATGGGGAGTCACATATTTCTTCTGTTTTAAAAAACAGGCACTACAAAACATTACAGAGTAATTAAATTTAAACATTTGTTGAAATCATAAAATGATTAGGATTTCATTTTCCTTTTCTAAAGAACTGAATTGTATCAAACTCCTCAACTTCAAAACAATGCTGAATAAATATCACTACCCTACAGCCCCAACTTTTTAGTCATGCTATATTATTTTTCACTGTTAAATCTCTGTATTTACTACTTAAAACCATATTTACAAAATAATCAGGTAACCAACACTAAAAACCCTTGGTGACTTCTAATTCTCTCCACGATCAAATCGAAGGTGAAAACTGACCTGACATTCTCAGTCTGTACACACAACCACGGTAACAGCTGGCGGATACAAGGATCTGGGCCTCAGATCAGTTCTGTAGCAAGCTGCTATGTGACCCACAGTGGTTAATCTATGCTCCCGATTACCCAGCTACCTCATACCACTACTGTAAGAATCGTATGACATGAGATACCATAAGACTTAGTAAACATTAAAATGTAGTATATTAACATATTTTTTCAATTGGGCAAAAGGGAAGTCTTTTGAACTCAGTGAAGAAAAGTAGTCCAAATGTCAGCTGGAAGCTGACAGAATAACAGACATCCATATAGTCAGCAACATGGTGTCCTCCACTGCTACAGTCCATAAGCTAAAGGTAACACAGTGGTTTCATGTAAACTCAACTGGGTCCACAAATATAGTCTGTTCGATATTCATTTAAAAACAATGTTTTAAGACTTCCGCCAAGATGGAGGTATAGGTGGAAGCACTGCACCTTCTCACACAACCAAGTTTAAAAACGACAAAGTTTTAGCAACAAAAATGCAGCCAAAACACAGAAAATCAAACTATATGGAAGTCTGACAACAACGACCCCTTCAGCGAAACCGGTAAGAGGGGCAGAGCCAGCAGCAGAGAGGGGTCAGGCAGGAGAGATCCACCGGACTGACCTGGGCGTGTGACCCAGGTACGCCAGCAGCCATGGGCAGATCCCAGGTATGGCGTAGCAGGCAGATCCACTGAGGGCTGACCACAGTCACACATTCGAGAGTACATAAACCAGTGAAGGAGGGAGCGGTGAGATAGACCGTGCAGGCCCCAGTGGCAGGAAGCGGCAGAGGGGACCACCATTGTCCCTCTCTGACCCCACCCCCACATACAGCATCACAACACAGCGACCTGGGTGGCCCCGCCCTGGTGAACAACTAAGGCGCCTCTCCTCATACATACAGGCACGAACAGATCACAACATGGCTCAAGGACAACTCAGAGCCCCAGAACCGGTAAATTTAAGCAATGAAGAAATAGCCAACCTATCAGATGCACAGTTCAAAACATTGGTGATCAGGATGCTCACACAACTGGTTAGAGGAAATGCTCACAAGTTAGAGGAACGTATGAAGGCTAAACTAATTGAAATGAAGGGAAATGCACAGGAAAGCAATAGTAATGGAAAGGAAACTGGACTCAAATCAAAGGAGTGGACCGGAAAAGGAAAAAAATGACCAAACAGAAAAGGATGAAGAAACAAGAATTCAAAAAAATGAGGAGAGGCTTAGGAACCTCCAGGACATCTTTAAACGTTCCAACATCTGAATATAATTATAGGGGTACCAGAAGGGGAAGAGGAACAGCCACCAGTGGAAAACTTATTTGAACAAATAATAAAGGAGAATTTCCCCAATCTGGCAAAGGAAATAGACTTCCAGGAAATCCAGGAAGCTCAGAGAGTCCCAAAGAAGTTGGACCCAAGAAGGAACAGACCAAGGCACATCATCATTACATTAGCCAAGATTAAAATGAAGGAGAGAATTCTAGAAGCAGCAAGAGATAAGGGGACAGTCACCTACAAAGGACTTCCCATCAGACTGTCAGTGGATTTCTCAAAAGGAACATTACAGGCAAGAAGGAGCTGGAAGGAAATATTCCAAGTTACGAAATCCAAAGACCTATGTCCAAGACTGATCTATCCAGCAAAACTTTCATTTAGAATGGAAGGACAGATAAAGTGCTTCTCAGATAAGAACAAATTCAAGGAGTTCATCATCACCAAGCCCTTATTACATGAAATGTTAAAGGGACTTATGTAAGAAAAAGAAGATAAAAAAGATGAACAGTGAAAGGACAGCAAACTCACAGTTATTAACAACCACACCTAAAACAAAAGCAAACTTAGAGGACAGCTAGATCAGGAGCAGAAACATAGAAATGAAGATCACATGGAAGGTTAGCAACAGGGGAGTGGGAGAAGGAGAAGGGGGGAGAAGTTACAGAAAATAAGTAGCATAGATGGTAAGTAGAAAATAGACGTGGGGGAGGGCAAGAATAGTATGGGAAATATAGAATCTAAAGAACTTGAGACATGTGGACATAAACTAAAGGGGGGAAATGGTGGGGGAGGGGGTGTGCAGAGTGGAGGGGAATGAAGAGGGAAACAGAACAACTGTAATGGCATAATCAATAAAATATACTTAAAAAAGAAAAAACAATGTTTTAAATTTTTGAATTAGTTGCCAATATAATTTTTAAAATATGAAATTTCTCATAAAAACTGAGCTTCCCTATTTTGACTTCAAAAATGGTAGATTTAAGAATACTGGGCCTGCATGACAATTTCTCTGTAGCTGAGGAACAGCTTCTCCCCTCACATAAGATGTGAGATTTTCTTTTTTCCCCCCCACACATGGCCTCAAGTGCATAAGAAAAAAGAGAGAAAGGGAGAGACAAAGACAGAGAGAGAGAAAGTGATGTGAATTTTTCAATAGGAAACCTTCACTGGCCCCATTCCCTGATTTGCCATATCTGACACATGCAAGTACATGAGTGTCAGACCACTGCAAAGTAAAGATTTTATTAGAAATAGGTCCTAGGTTAGAAATAGCCTGCCACTCTGATTGCCTGGAAACACTGGGTTTTAAAGTTGAAGTAGGCAATCTATTTATCTGTATTTTAAGCCTTCGGTTTAGGCTAGTTGAGAAGAGGGATTTCATACAAACTGCAGAGCACCACCCTCTCTGCCCAAACACATACGTGTGAGGGCGGGCACACACATAGACACACATACTATCTGCTAAGTGACAGTGATACTGTTTCTCTAAGTTAATAAAAACTAAATATTCAACAGTTTTCAGACATTTTTACAGCTGTGTAAACATCAGTGTCATATCATTCCCATTTAATCATTAAAACCTGCAATGCCAAGTAAGCAAGCCTGGAAACGACAGGTCTCAAAAAACCAACAATCAGGGATTCAAGGGAGGCTCTATAATGAGTTGCCATTTAATAGAATTTTGAAAGGAATTATTGGTTCCCAAAGTTTGCTGCATACTGAATCATCTGTGATCTTTGAAAAATACTGATACCTGGCTCCCACCCCCACCACATTCCGGTTTAATTAATATGAAATGTGACCTGGACATTAACAGTCTTTTTTTTTTTAATTTAATTTATTTATCTTTAGAGGGGAAGGGAAGGAGAGAGGGAGAGAAACATCCATGTATGGTTGCCTTTCGTGCGTCCCCTGCTGGGAACTGGCCTGCAGGGAACTGGCCTGCAGGGAACTGGTCTGCAAACCAGGCATGTGCCCTGACTGGGAATCGAACCGCGATTGTCTGATTTGCAGGCCCGTGCTCAATCCACTGAGCTACACCAGCCAGGGCTGACATTAACAGTCTTAAAAGCCACTCAGGTGATTCCCATGTGCAGCAAGTTTGGAAACCACCGAATTACTCTAAAAAGTATTTTGGTTCTATAATGTACAACAAAGACATAAATTTCTTAATAGAACAAAGTTCAGAGAGTTCTCAAAGCTCACAGAACAAATGGTCAAAAAGTAAAACTCAGTAAAAGGGGTAAATGAGGCTTACTATATCCAGCATGTAACAAAACAAGCAATATATTTCAATTCATTTTTGTGATATGAATGGTTACCATGTAATAAAGTGATTAAAAGTTGCCTTCCATTGACACTAGACTATAAAGGCTTTCAAATTATTAGAATTTAGACAAATACAGGTAATGTTATGATAAAATTGCATAATTTACTATAGGCAATATTATATTTATATCATGAGGTAAATGGCACCATCAAAAATTCTTTTATTAAATAAAATATAATTTCTCAAATAATTATATGCCACTCAACAAGTATTTACCCAGTATTTACTAAGTGACATAGAAGAGACTGTTCCAGACACTAAGGATCCAGCACTGAGCAAATGGAAACAAAACCACAAACCTGCCCCCTCACAGAGGTTACACGGACCTAGAGTGGGAGTAAAGGCATACAAATACACTAACTGAAAAGGACAGCAGGGGAGTAGGGGTGAGAGGGATCAGCTGGGATCTGCAATGTTAGAGAAGTCTGCAATGTTAGAGAAGTCTGCAATGTTAGAGAAGTCTGCAAAGGTAACATCTGAGAACAAAACCTGGAAGTTGTATTAGCATATATAACTCATATACATATATAATTAACATGCATATATAACATACTAACTATATATGCTAATACAACTAAAGGCAATAAATACATTAGTAAAAATAATAATTCTGGCACAGTAAAACTGATAAATCTGAAGTGGACCATACCTCCATGTGGGATCTTAGGGTTCTCAGGGAGTCTTCCTGGATCAGTTATCGAGGCCCTTATTAAGGCAACCAGACAAAATATGGCAATGCCATAGAATACTAGAAAAGTGAAGGGGAGAGGGGAAGAAAAGAGAGAAAATTAGTCTTACCCTTTAAAACATTTTACCAGTAAGCATATTTTAAAGTTTAAATGTATATTTTAATTACTACCATCCAGATAAATACAAGGGGGATCCAAAACGCCCAGTATTTGTAAAAAATTACACATTTATTCTTTTGTGATTTAGTAGTTATTGTATTATTTTTTCCATTACCATTTAGTCCCCTTATACCCGCCCTTCCCCAGTAATCACACACTGTTCTCCATGTCCAGGAGTTCTTTTTCTTTTTTCTCAGTCCCTCCACCCGCTATCTTCACCTCCCCCACAGAAGCTGTCTTCCTGCTCTGAGTCTGTATTTTCCTTGTTAGTTCAGTTTGCTCATTAGCTTCCCCATATGGGTAAAATCATATAGTATTTGTCTTTTTCTGACTGACTTATTTCACTTAGCATAATGTTTTCCAGGTCCAGCCATACTATGCAAAGGGTAAAATTTTCTTCTTTCTTACAGACAAGTAGAATTCCATTGTGTAAATGTCCCATAGTTGTTTTATTTACTCATCTATTGATGGACACTTGGGCTGCTTCCATATCCTGGCAATTGTTAAGTAACACTGCCATGAAAATATGGGTGGCTATATTGAATGACATTTATTGAATAAACTATCTTTAGTCCATTGTATGTACTTGCTACCTCTGTCAAATTAATTGACTATAAAGGTGTGTTTTTTTTTTCTGAGTTCCCTATTCTGTTCCATTAACCTCTGTGTATTTTCTGTGCCAGAACCATGCTGTTTTGATTACCGTGGCCTTATAGTATAGTTTGATATTATTAGCATGATTCCTCCAACTTTGATGGTTTTTCTCAGGATTATTGTTGCTATGTGGGGCCTTTTGTGGTTCCATATACATTTTTTAAATATTTGTTCCAATCCTGTGAAATATGTCATTAGAATCTTGATAGGAACTGTGCTGAATCTATAGATTTTTTTGGTAGTGTGGATGTTTTAATGATGTTAATTATTCCTATCCATGAACATAATAAGTGCTCCCACTTAACATATTTGTACCATCTTCAATTTTTCTTCAGTGTCTTATAATTTTGTGAGTACAAGTCTTTTACATCCTTGGTCAGGTCTATCCCCAGGTATTTCATTCTTTTTGAAACACCTGTGAATGGCACTGTTTTCTTCGTTTCTCTTTCTGCGCATTTCTTATTGGCACATAAAAATGCAACTGATTTTTGGATATTAACTTTGTATCCTGCTCCTCTGCTGAATTTGTGTATCAGTTCTAGTAGTTTCTTGATAGAATCTTTGGGGTTCTCTTATACAGTATCATGTCATCAGCAAATAAAAACAGTTTTACTTCTTCCTTTCCAATCTGGAAGCTTTTAATTTTTCCTTCTTGTCTGAATGCTGTGGCTAGGACTTCCAGCACTATGTTGATTGAATAAAAGAGGTAAAAGCAGGCATCACTGTCTTATTCTGAATCTAAGGGGACTGCCTATAGTTTTCGACTGTTGAGTATGATGCTGGCAATGGGTCTGTCATACATGGCCTTTATTATGCTTATGTATGTTCCCTCTGTTCCCACTTTGCTGAGAGTTTTATTATAAATGGGTGCTGGATTCTATCGAATGCTTTTTTGCATTTATTGATATGATCATGTGGTTTTTATCCTTTATTTTGTTTATGTGGTGAATCACATTTATTGATTTGCAAATGCTGTACCAACCTTGATCCCACTTGATCATGGTGTATGATCTTTTTGATGCATTGTTGTACTCAGTTTGCTAATTATTTTGTGGAGAAATTTAGCCTCAATGTTTATTATGGATATTCCCCTATAATTTTCTCTCTTTGCAGTGTCTTTATCTGGTTTTGGAATTAGGATAATGCTGGCCTTGTAAAATGAGTTGGGAGCCTTCCCTCCTCTTGAATTGTATGAAACACTTTGAGAAGAGGTGTTAGTTCTTCTCAGAATGTTTGGTAAAATTCCCTTGTGAAACCATCCAGTTCAGGGCTTTTGTTTGTTGGGATTTTTTTATTACCACTTTAATTTCACTAGGAGTAATCTGCCTATTCAGATTCTCTGATTCTTCCTGATTTAGTTTTAGAAGATTGTCTGTTTCCAGGAATTTATCTGTTTTATCCAGGTTGTCCAGTTTGTTGACATATAGTTCTTTATAACGTTTTCTTACAATCCTTTGTATTTTTTTGGTGTCAGTTATTTTTCCTCTTTCATTTCTGATTTTACTCATTTGGGTCCTCACTTTTTTTTCTTGATGAGTATGGTTAAAGGTTTGTCAATCTTGTTTATCTTTCAAAGAACCACATCTTGGATTTACTGATCTTTTGCATCATTGTTTTAGACTCTATTTCATTTATTTCTGCTCTGATCATTATTGCCTTCCTTGTACTCACTACTGGCTTTTTCTTTTTCAAGTTACTTTAAGTGTAAAGTTAGATTGTTTATTTGAGTTTTTTCTTATTTTTTGAGATAGGCCTATAATGATGTGAATTTCCCTCTTAGAATTGCTATATGTGCCCCACAGATTTTGGAATATTGTGTCCTTATTTTCCTCTGTTAAGGCATCTTTTGATTTCTTGCTTGATTTCATTGTTGACCCATTTGTTGTTTAGTAACATGTTATTTATCTTCCATGTCTTCGCATGTTTTTCAGTGTTCTTCTTGTGTTTGATTTCTAATTTCATACCATTGTGCTCAGAGAAGATGCTTGGTATGATTTCAAACTTCCTAAACTTATTGAGACTTGTTTTGTGTCCTAACATGTGGTCTGTCCTAGAAAAAACTCTCTGTGCATTTGAAAAGTATGTCTATTCTGCTGCTTTTGGGTGAAAGGCTCTGAAAATATTAATTAAATCCATTTGATCCAGTGTGTTGTTTCAAGCTGCTGGCTCTTTGTTGATTTTGTCTAGAAGATTTATGGGGTTTTAAGGTCAATAGGGTGTTACATCCCTGACTATGACAGTATTTCTGTCGATCTCCCCCTTTATGTCCAACTAGATTTGCTTCACATATTTGGGTGCTCCTATGTTGGGTGCGTAAATGTTTAGTAGGGTTATATTCTGTTGTTGGATTGTTCCCTCTATCATTATGTAGTGTCCTTCTTTGTCTCTTACCATAGCCTTGATTTTAAAGTCTATTCTGTCAGATCTAAGTACTGCTACCCCAGCTATTTTTTCTTTTCAAGATATTTGCATGAAATATCCTTTTCCACCCCTTTACTCATAGTCTGTTTCTTTCCATATGAGATGGGTCTCGGTAGTAGTATATTTGTGGGTTTTGTTTTCTTATCCATTCAGCTACCCTCTGTCTTTTAGTTGGAGCATTTAAGCCATTTACATTTAAGGTTATTATTGATAGATACGTATTTAGTGCCATTTTATGTTAGACTATTTTCTCCTCTGTTCTTTTTTTCTTTCTCTTTCTCTTCTGCTTCTTAAAGCAAGCCCTTTAACATTTGTTGCAGTACTGATTTGGTGTTAACAAACTTCTTTAGCTTTTTCTTGTCTGGAAAACTCCTCATTTCCCCTTTGATTTTAAGTGATAGCCTTGCTGGGTAAAGTAACCTTGGTTATAGATCCTTGCTGTTCATCACCTTGAATATTTCACACCACTCCCTTCTGGTCTGATATGTTTCCGTTGAGAAATCAGATGAGAGTCTGACTGGTGTTCCCTTGTATGTAACTACCTGCTTTTCTCTGCAGCTTTTAGGGTTCTCTTGTCTTTAAACCTTGTCATTTTAACTATGATATGTCTTGGGACAGGCCCCTTTGGGTCCAACTTCTTTGGGACTCTCTGAGCTTCCTGGACTTGTGTATCTTTTTCCTTCACCAGATTAGGTAAGTTTTCTGTCATTATTTTTTCAAATAGGTTTTTGATCCCTTGCGTACTTTCTTCTCCTTCTGGTATTCCCATGATGCAGACGTTGTTCTATTTCATGTTGTCCAAAATGCTTTTCATTTTTTAAAAATCCTTTTTTTCCTTTTTTCTGCTCTGCCTGGATGTTTTTCCTTTTTTCTGCTCTCCCTGAATGTTCTTCCTGGATTGTGCTCCAAATCACTGAGTCAATTCTCTGCTTCATGTAACCCACTTTTTATTCCTTCCTGTGTATTACTTTGTGGTTTCTATGTCTTTTTTTCATGCTGTTGAGTATCTTAATATTACCACTTTTAAATGTTACTCTGAATAACTGATAAACTTGTTATAAATCAGGTTCTTTATTTACAGAGATTCCCTATAAATAATTATATAAATTAATGAGTTCCCTTTTAATTACTACATGTACTATATTTGAATTAAAGCAGCATTTTTAAACATATTCTACAATTAAACTTTTTCATTAACTCTAACTGGCTATCTTCAAAATTATTTTGAGTTAGTGATGTTAAATTATTCCTTTCAACAGATCTTAAGATAGTTAATTTGCAGATAAAAAATCTAGGTGCTTTTACAAGTTTTAAAATGCAAAACTAGACAAAGTAACAGTAAGAGAAGACAGATTCATTCATCACAATTCTAGCTTTTAAGTGAATAAAAAATAGGCATTCTGTTGGAGGGAGGGGTAAGAGGGCGCCACCTCTGTAACAGGAAACTTAATTCTTAAGTGCTAACTCCAGGGCTGAATACACAGTATTGTTCAGTGTTATCATTTGTACATCAGAGATTACATTTCCCACAGCTCTCGCAAGGTCAATATGATATCATGTACATGGAAACGGTAAATGCCATGGACATGTAAAATATGTCACTTCAAAATTAATCATAAGCAAGCCACTACTAATGAACTACAGCAGAAAATATTATGTAGTGATTCCAAGTCTTGTAAGGAACATAATAATAATATCTAAATCGTAAAAATCTCATTTTTTATTAATGTATGCCATCTTCATTCTTAAAACTCCTACATTTGCAATAAGTACATAACAAAAATATCAAAAATACACACACAAGTTAGCACTACTATACCGGTTTTTCTTTTAAGTAAAATGATCTTTATATATTTTCCAGAGTTAGATACAGAGATAATCACATTTACCTAAACCTGCCAAGTAGAATATAAAGGACATCATGTTTTAAAACTTGCATAATTTAGAAATAACTTAGTATTAATAGCACTAATATTAAAAGAAAGGTTATCATAGTAATGCTATATTCCAAAAACATTTACAATGAGGGAAAACTTTAATTATATAAAGAAATAAAGACCTAGAAACTTACTTATTATTAGTATGCCTGGAATATGTCCTTCTTCATAGTGAGGAAAGAGGACAATTTTTGGAATTATGACGATATTGTATAACCAGACAAAGACGATCACACCCATGCAGCACCAACCATGTGGGTCAACAACAAAGTGAATCCGGAGACCCATTTTGTAGCGCTACAACTGCCTGCTGACCCACAAGGAAGGACGATCCTAAGGAGAGGGAATAAAGAAAAAGTTATTTATATTGAAAATATTATTTGACTAAAACAAAACTACCTTAGTGGCAACTATAAAATGATACTTACTGTATTTTCTTTGTGTATATTTTAAAACATTTTATTCGTGTATTTTTAAAGAGGGGAAGGGAGGGAGAAAGGGAGGGAAACATCAATATGTGAGAGAAATATGGATTGGCTGCCTCTCGCCGGCCCCCAATTGAAGACCTGGCCTGCAACCCAGGCTTGTGCCCTGACCAGCAATTAAACCTGTGACCTTTTGGTTTGCAGGCCTGTGCTCAGTCCACTGAGCCACACCAGCCAAGGCATCTTTGTATACTTTTGACAAAATAAAACATTTTAGAAAATAAAGGGGAGTTTCAGGATATTCAAATTCCACCATAAACTTCAAATAATTTAATTTCAATTTTCTTTATAAACTCCTATCATAGAATATAAATTGGCACTATTTTCTGACATTAAACACAAGTCTGTCCTTAACTGAGCAATTCCACGTGTAAACCCAAAAGAAATGGGTCCACATATCCACCAAAATAGATATATGTGTATATAAATGTTTAGTAGTTTAAATCATAAGACTAAATGATGATCATCCAAGTTGAAACAGTACTAATTTTGTGAGGGGTGATTTTGGGAGGGGTATTTATTTACTGTAAAGAAACATAATGGAACCTTTGTGGGGCTAGAAATGCTCTCTCTCTTCACATGGTTAGTGTTTTCTGGATATATACATATGTAAAAATTCACTGAGATGTACACTTAAGATTTGTGCAATTTAGTTTATTTTAAACCATAGTAAAATGCTTTAAAAATTATTTTTGAAAAATCATAATAAAAACTGCCAAAAATATTTAAATTCATGGAATGAAGTCCAACTAATCTATCAACTCAAGAAGACTCTTGTTTAAACGGGGCTTTTTTCAGCTGAGTGTTAACAAAGTGCTCACAGGCCTCCCAATGAACCACTTAAAGTTAAGATACTTCTATACCTGTGGTACCAAAAAAGTTACTTTAAAGAAGTCCATACTTTAGTAGACATAACTTATAAGCTTAAACAATAAAGTACTTATAAGATCTATGGGCACTTTTACCCAAAATACAATGGAATAATACAATGACAAACTAGGCCGATGTTTCTGAAACCTGTAAGCAAACCAGAATCAACTGAGGAGCCTTGTAAGAATGCTATTTCCAGATCCCATTGCAGAACTATCGAATCATAATTATTTTTGGACTAAAGTTCAAACACCAACGAAATGTTTAAAATGATCCCCAACTGTATGACCCAGCTGAGTGGTATCCAGGAATCAGTAATCCAGGAGCATCAGCAGTGAGCTGAACTCAAGTTCAGCAAATATTCATCAAGCCTCCACTACAGAGCAGTCACCTGCAAAGCACTGTAGGTACAGTGATAAATAAGACATGGTCTTTGCTTAAAGAAACTAACCACCTAATAGGGAAAAGAGTCATTAAAAGGATTTAATACAATACGGTAAATTCCAGAGATGTGGACAAGTTGTTACCAGAGGCACAAAACACAGGGCTAGTTAAATCAGGGTAAGACTTCCTACAGCGGTTGAAACCTGAGATTAGTCTTAAAAGACAAGTAAAAGTTACCCAAGCAAAGTGACGACACAGCAAACAGAGGAAAAAGCAAGAGGTACACAAGAGTAAAAATTGTAGGAGGTATCACAAATTACCGCCACAAACCACCAATCTTCAGTGGAGAGTGAGTGGTGAGAAGGGGCTATAAACACAAAGTACACAGGGGTACTGTGTTAGAATGCTCAGACGTCATTCTGAGACATTGGAGAGCTACTGAAGCAGGGAGTTAACATAAGATTTATACCTTAAAGGAATTACTGAAGCTCTGGTGAGGAAGGGGAAAAGATCAGTTAGTGTAAAAGAAGACAAAAGCCAAAATTCGCTTTGGAGAAGAGTCAACTAAAGAAATGGTTAGAATCAAACCAGTACTTTTACTAACTGACTGAATATTATGGGTCACAGAGGAAAGAGTCAAAGATGATCCCCAGATTTTCAGTTTATAACCCAAACTACTTCATTCTAAGAATAATTTATCATTAGAGCCTCAGGGCACTACCTCTTAGAGGCCTTGACAGTGTTCTTTAAAGCCACAAGGCTAACAGAACAAAGAAAGAAAAGATTAAGGATTATTTAATTTTAAAAGAATAACTCTATGTTATCATCCCAAAAACCTACAAATGTTGGGGCCACAGAAAATAAGACAGGAACTCAAATGCACCACCACTCAACCACTTCTATCAGACAGTGTCTAAATTAATCCTTACCTATGAAGTCTAAAACATGAATAGACCCTAGGTCTCTAAAAAAAGTAAAAGTTGAACTTTGTTACCTTTTAATTAGAAAATTCAAATACCTATCAGTATCATTTAAGCAAGAAAAGTCACAGAGGATAAAACATGCTATTTTATTGCTAGATATTATTTTAAAAACTAAAGGAGCTCAAATAAAAATGATAAGCTATCTACATAGCTAAAAAGAGAAACATTAAAAAGAATGTTTATATTTACAGTCTTGCCAACCATCAAGTGCTGAAAGAAATGACAGAAGGCTCTGTCTCTCGACATATTCAATATTATTAACTTCATGTACTTTCTTTTAATGGTTCAGTTCCATTCAGAACTAAACAGATTGTGCATTACAATAATTATACAGAACAGAGCAATTTCATTACTTATTTCTAAATTTATTAGTACTAGAAACAGGAGAGCAAACAAGCCAACAAAACAAGTAGTAAAATTATCAATTACTCATTCACGTTTCAAACTTTATTTTTATTCTCCTCTATCAGAGATTAAATTTTCCTTATCACTAAAAGAGAGAGATTCCTCACAGCAGAAAACATTAGACAGTAAAAAGTAAGGTTAAACTGTATCTAATTTTTCCTGGATATAAACATATGTAAACAACAAACTCTAAAAGAACATGGATCCTCACGGAAAAGTGAGCAAAGAATAGAAAAATAAAACAGTAAGCAAATAAGACGTTGAATACTAAAAAAAAAAAAAATACCTGATCAGTGAAAATTAGTGCCACATAACCCTTACAATTAGACTGTAGAGAAGGAAACAGTGGTCTTCCAAGAGCTCCAAAGCAGATTACCGCCAGAAACCAGAGCTGCAGGATCACTCCACCCGGTTAACATCTACCAGGCGTGGCTTATAGCTGAACAGAAACTATTACACATCCTGAGCAACATCCGAACTCAACACGATGCTGCTACTCCGTCTTAAGGGTGGCATTTGTAAAATACTTTCATTAGCTAGAGATTCCAACATATTAATTTGCATATTAAATGGTGAGCTCATAACTCAAACTTTGATGTAACTAGTGGACATACTGGTTCTGCAACATTTTTTTAAGATTGATATCTGGTAACTAACTATACTTGAGTGCTATGACTAACTTCCTTAATGATGTAAATTACTGCTGCACAAACTTTTTTTAAAGAAATTATCATTCAACTCTAATAAACTGGACTGCATAAATATTTACAACGTTCAAACTATTCTGGCAGGAAATTACCTTCCCTTTTTGCCTTTTCAGGCAGCTAAGTTTCACTTCACATTTTCCTCAGGAGGAACACTCAAGTCGCTATAAAAAGAAAGTAACATAAAACTGTAATATCAGAATGCAGATTTTAGAAAATGATAAAAGCCAAAATAATTGACAAGAAATCTAGTAAAACATATATCTCTGAGAGTACAGTTTTATCAGACTTCTCCACCTCAAGCCAGTGTTCTTATTATTATTCCATGAGTATGAAAAATATACCCCATCTCCCATTTCTCCTCTCTGAAATGTTCTTAGTATTTTGCTTACTCTAAATTTAATTCATACTTCAAGGTCAATGTGAGTCACACTCTCCACATAAAAATTTTCCTGGCACCTCAGTTCACAGTGATTTCTCTTTCTCCTCTAAATTCCAAATAAAAAGCAAAGCTAATAGAAGAAAATAGCAAGTGGTTTTATAATCTTGGAATCAGGTAAGCCATCACAAATGGAACCCAACAGCCAAGTTTGACCACGCAAAGGAAAAAGTTCTGAAGCCCTGGGCACACCAAAAACAAAAAGACAAAAACCATCCCTTGAAAATAATAACACATAATTAATAAGAAGCATGCAAAGTAAATACTTAGACAATTCATAAAAGAAAAAATCCAGTGGTCATCAATAACTAGGCATATTTTTTACCCTGTGTATTGACAAAATTTGGAAAGACCTAATATGCAATGTTGAAAGGACAGACTTAAAAGGATACACTGGTGTGCATATAAATGGATACAATCATTTGGAGGACAATTTGACAGTATCTATTAGAGTACCAAATTCTTTTTTTTAAAGATTTTATTTATTTTTAGAGAGGGAAAGAGAGGGAGAGAGTTAGAGAAACAACAATGTGTGGTTGCCTCGTACGTGGCTTCCCACATACGGCCTGCAACCAGGCATGTGCCCTGACTGGGAATCAAACTAGCAACCCTTTGGTTCATAGCCCATGCTCAATCCACTGAGCCACACCAGCCAGCACTAAAGTAGCAAGTTCTTTAACCCAGCAGTTTTATTTCTAGTAATACCTAAAAAATACTCATTACAGTGTACATAGATATATATACACATACACACACGTTGTATACAGCAGGTTTTTTCCCCCTCACCTGAGGACATTTTTTCACTGGTTTTAGAGAGAGGAAGGAGAAAGGGAAACACTGATGTGAGAGAGAAACACTGACTGGTCACCTCCTGTACGAGCCCGGACCAGAGAGATCACACGTGCTCGGACGGGGGACCGAAGCCACAATGTAGGAGTATGTCCTGATTGGGAATCAATCCAGCAACCTTTTGGTTATGATGCACCAAAGGTGGTGAGCCACACTGGCCAGGGCATACAGCACTTCTGTAGTCACGAAAATACAGCACACCAAAATGTCCAAGTAGAGGGAGAGGAATGATTAAATAAATTATAATATCCATAGTGTAAAGTATTTCCAAGTCACTGCAATTCTAGAATTAAAAAAGTACAGGGAGGAGGTACATCTAGATCTCCACACAGCTATCCACATATAGTACTGAGAGAAAAAAAAGTTACATAGGCAAATCTATTGGGGAATGAAGGTGGGGGCCTGAAGAGTGGTTTCCTGAAAGGAGAGGTGGAAAAAGACAAACTAGGAAAGGGCAGAAGGGAACCTCCATGGTGCTGATAAAGATCTCTATCTTAATATGAGTTTGAGACACAGAGGTTATAAACGGTCAAAACTCAGCCGACATACACTTAAGATTGTTGCATTTCCTGATGTTTAAATTTACCTTTTCAAAAACCCTATAAACCAATACTGAATTCTAATTAATAATATGTATGCCGAAGTATTGGAGAAAGAGGGGAGGAAATGATTTTGGTTCTATTAGAAAAAAAGTGTGGCTTCCGGCCAAGATGGAGGCATAGGTGGAAACATTGTGCCTCCTCAAACAACCAAGTTTAAAGACAACAAAGTTTTAGTAACAAAAACGTAGCCAAAACACATAAAATTGAACTGCACAGAAGTCCAACAACAACAAACAGTTCATCCAGACTGGTAAGAGGGGCGGAGTCAGCAGCGCAGGGAAAAGCGGCCGGACCAACCCAGGCCCACAGGAGCTCAGGTGGCGTTGGCGGATCCCAGGCGTGGGGTGGCAGTGGGCAGACCCAGTGAGAACACAAGGCGGCTGGCTGTCCGCAGTCACACATTTGAGCACAGATCAACCAAGCAAAGGAGCGAGCAGTGACACAGACGGCTCAGGCCAGGGCCCCAGTGACGGGAATTAGAGCCTGAAAGCACCAATTGGAAAGACTTTTGGGGTTGAGGTGCCGGGATAGGCTCCTAGGCTCACAGAGAGTTTGTTGGAGAGACCAACAGGGTCCTGGAGGCTGCACAAACCCACACACCTGGGAGTCGGCACCAGGGGGGCCAAGTTTGCTTGCAGGAAGCAGCAGAGGGGACCAAAATCCCAGGGAGCACGAAACAGAGGCTATTGCCCCTCTCTGACCCCGCCCCACATACAGCATCACAACACAGCGACTTGGGTCCCCACACCCTGGTGAACACCTAAGACTCCACCCCTCGTATATAACAGGTACAAAGAGACCAAAACATTACGCCTCAAGAATAGCTCAAAGCCCCAGAGCCAATAATTCTAAGTGACCAAGAGATAGCCAACCTTTCAGATACACAGTTCAAAACACTGGTGATCAGGATGCTCACAGAACTGGTTGATTTTAGTCACAAATTAGAGGAACAAATGAAGGCTAAACTAAGTGAAATGAAGGGAAATGCACAGGAAACCAATAGTGATGGAAAGGAAACTGGGACTCAAATCAATAGAGTGGACCAGAAGGAAGAAAAAAATGGCCAAACAGAAAAGGATGAAGAAACAAGAATTCAAAAAAATGAGGAGAGGCTTAGGAACTTCCAGGACATCTTTAAACATTCCAACATCCAAATTATAGGGGTACCAGAAGGGGAAGAGGAAGAGCAACAAGTGGAAAACTTATGTCAACAAATAATAAAGGAGAATTTCCCCAATCTGGCAAAGGAAATAGACTTCCAAGAAATCCAGGAAGCTCAGAGAGTCCCAAAGAAGTTGGACCCAAGAAGGAACACACCAAGGCACATCATCATTACATTAGCCAAGGTTAAAATGAGGGAGAGAATTCTAGAAGCAGCAAGAAATAAGGGGACAGTCACCTACAAAGGACTTCCCATTAGACTGTCAGTGGATTTCTCAAAAGACACCTTACAAGCAAGAAGGGGCTGGAAAGAAGTATTCCAAGTCATGAAATCCAAAGACCTGCATCCAAGATTGCTCTATCCAGCAAAGCTTTCATTGAGAATGGAAGGGCAGATGAAGTGCTTTTCAGATAAAGTCAAGTTCAAGGAGTTCATCATCACCAAGCCCTTATTATATGAAATGTTAAAGGGACTTACCTAAGAAAAAGAAGATAAAAAATATGAACAGTGAAAGGACAGCAAACTCACAGTTATTAACAACCACACCTAAAACAAAAGCAAACTAAAAGGACAGCCAGATCAGGAGCAGAACCATAGAAATGAAGATCACATGGAGGGTTAGCAACAGGGGAGTGGGAGAAGGAGAAGGGGGGAGAAGTTACAGAAAATAAGTAGAAAAAAATAAAAATAATAAAAATTTAAAAAGAAAAGAAGTATAATTTCTGTATATGAATAGGAAAAAAGGTGTGAAAGAGAAGACACGTCCAAAACTCTTAACAATGGTTATCACTGGAATGAGCAAGGAAAGAGCAAAGAGAAAGAAGGCTTTCACATTTTATGTACGTATTAATGTGTTCTTCTAACTTTATTAGTAAACATATGTACTTCTAAATTCTTTTTAGCCAACTGAAAAATAAAGACAGCCCAGGGGGTCTGATTAGACATTACAATCTTACCCCAAAAATGTTTAATTTAAGCCTCTCTTTATCACTATGTTATCCTTATTTTAAATACTTTTAAAGTTAATATTTTAAAAAACACTATGCAGAAGCATCAGCTATAAATCCATGTGAGATTTATAATCTAGAAGGATGTTTCTGAAACTTGTATTACTTACAGATCATATTTCTCTATTTAAAAAATGCCTTATTTAAGAAAATATTTAGTTAAGTGTTGGGAACCTTACACCTGGCTTCTAGCTAAAAACATTGCATTGATTACAGGAACCTGTGCGCGCCACAAAGCCAATCGGCTACAGGTACATGAGGTGTGCATGCACTCCCCAAGCCAATCGGCTACAGGCACATGAGGTGTCCACGAGTACCAGTTGCACCCAAATAACCAATAAGCGGGCCCGTCTTTGTCTCAAGCTAGCCAATAGCAAGCAACCTAATCTCCTTCCTCTCCCTCCCCCCTATATATATACCCAGTTCGGAAAAATAAAGTTTGCAGCTTGATCAGAATCTTTTGTCTTGCTGCCATTCTTCGCGCCTCTTGTCCCCCCAACTCATTTGTTCTAGGTAGGTGGTCGAGCCCCAGTTGATTGCTCCACGGGCCGGAGCAGTTAAGCCCTGGCTTGTGTGACTCAGTGAACTGAGTGCTGGCCTGTGAACCAAAGGGTCATTGGTTCAATCCCCAGTCCAGGGCACATGCCTGGGTTACAGGCCAGGTCCCCAGTAGGGGGCGTGTGAGAAGCAACCGCACACTGATGTTTCTCTCCCTCTCCCTCTCTCTCAAAACAAATAAATAAAATATTTTTAAAAGGGAAATGCTTAAAATTTAATATGAAATTTAATAACGATTTTTTGCAAATAAACAATTATTAAATACATTTAAACATAAGAACTAAGGACACTGTACCACATAATTCAAAAACTTATTCCCACATAAAATTAAACAGACTCACCACTTGCAAATTCACTGCGACGTGTTGTGATTCTTCTGGTACTTGCATTTAGATGTTTGATCTTGATTCATTCTCTTTTTACCGCATTCCAACAAATGGATTTCTCTTCAATGACAGTTTTCCATAAGACTCTATTAATGGTTTAACAAATAATTATCTCTCAAAAAGACGAAAATCATAAGCAGCTAAATAATCTAACCATAAAAATGTCAATTATGAAGTTACAAATTCAGAAATAAGACAACTCAACTCCACCTTATTCTGTGCTTTCACATCCCACACCACCCCTAAAAAATGTGCATTTGATTCCCATTACACATGAAAAGTTCTCTCATCTGAAACCACTCAGTTCCCATAAAACAAATCAGCATTATGCATCCAGCACTTGGGCTTCGTCAAATTTCCTGACCACAAATCACAAAACGACAATCAATTCTGAGATCACCAATGGGACAAAATGCAATGTAATGTCTATCATAATGTAAAGCTACTAGAACTATCTAATCATAATTGATAAACATAAAATTAAGAGCTTAAAATAGAAGCAAGTTTTAAAGTGTAAGGAAAAAAGTTATACTTCTGTAATAAAACCATTAAAAAAGCAACCATAAAAGTTAGTTTCTATAGCTCAAGCTTAAAGGCTTAATATTGGGATGAGTTCTAGAAAGCATACACTGATTCAATATTCCATTAATTTAATCAACATCTATGGACTCTGTATATGTGCTTTGGTGCTAGATATAATACCAGACAGGGACCTTATCCTCAGTGGAGAAAGGCTAATAAACACATAAAAATAACACTATGTAAGACAAGGTAAGATAGAGGGCAAGGGGGAAAGAAAGCAAGTCATTACAGGTAGGATACTGTTTCATGGACCTTTTTTCACTTATGTGAAAATTTATGTGTATACTAGATTGCAATACAAAATGTATTTACTATTGTAAACTGCCACCAGGAAAAGATTTCCGGAAAGGGCGAAATCTGTGAATTAGGTAAATGAAGAATGGAGGTTCTTGTGAACAAGATGCAAATAAGCAAAGGTATAAAAGCAGGCAAAAAATCCCAATAAGCTGAAATGGCATAAGTCACTGCATGTGGAAAGATGAGACAAATTATGTCCATCCTCACCACAATCCACTCTAAAAAACATTTTTATAATGTTACTTGTACACACAAATATATGAGCTTTATAAGTATACACTGCATGTATGAAATATATAACTGAAGAGGTTTAATGAAATATTTACCCCTACTGTATGTAATAAACTCTGATACTATTTCATGACCCACAAGTAGAGAATGATCTAAAAGTGAAAAACACTGTAAAACTATGCCCATGAGTTTGGATTTCACCCTAAACACAGTGGGAACCATTGAAGAATTTGACACAAAATGCCATGACGAAACTTGCATTTTGGATAAAAGAGCAGCACTTTCAAGAATGGACTTAGGTGGATGATAAGGCTCCAAGACTGACTAAATGAAATTAGACAGGCTCACTGGTCACCCACATGAGACATGAGGGCATACAGTAAGCCCCCCCCAAGTGGTAACCTATAAGAAGAGTGGGAGGGGTGGGAGTGAGGATGGAACACTTAAGATAGGAGGCATGTTGGAAAAGGAAAATTAAGAACATTTTTTTTCTTATGAGTAAAATTCATAGGAGTTGGTGAACTAGAAGCAGAGAGCACGTGCTAGGATGGTTCCCAAGTTTTGGCCCAGGGACTAGGGGAAGGGTGGTGCCATTCTCCAAGACGGGAATTAAAGGACAAGTTATGCATTTGTTAAGTATACTGCTTACCATAACAATGAGAAACTGTTACATATAAAAAATACAACAAAATAATTATCATTACATTTCCATTCCCCTTAGAGACTTGTTTTAAACTATTAACTTCCAGAGTCAATTTTTCTATGGTCCATGATTGTTAGATTGTCAAATGTAATTTAGTTCTACCCTAACTTTCTAAGCTAATTTAAAGTGGTCTCCTTGGCTGTACCTTTGTTTCTTAAAGACAAAATATGGAATGAACGAGTAAAGGAACTGTTGCTCTAATGGGAAAGCAATGAATTCATCATCTTCTAGAAAAAACCTCAGGCAGAATTAAATATAGTACATCAAAATATTCTGAAACATGGCCAAGGTCAATAATGCCGTGAAGACTCTGACTCTACAATGGCTTTCCAATGTTTCAGCACAGCAGTTTCTGTCAGTTACGGTATCAGGTAATAGCACAGGTCAACCACCCATGAGTCAAACCCCACGCACTCCCTGGCTTAAAATCAAGAAAGAAATCCTACTTTACGCTCACAGCTATTACAGCTTCACTGGAGCCGTAATATACAAAATGAGATGAAAATCTCACCCAGCTCAACAATATCACAACCACTGTGGAATCAAATCTCCTCTACATGGTATAAAAGCAATGTTAGCACTAAAAACCTAGGAAATTGTAGGATAACAAAGAATATCTCAAACTTTCATAGCTATAAAATGTTAACTAAATATTCTTTTATTTTATTTTATTTTATTTTATTTTATTTACTTATTATTTTTAGACAGAGGGGAAGGGAGGGAGAGAGAGAGAGAGAGGAAGAGAAACATCAATGTGTGGTTGCCTCTCATGCGCTCCCCACTGGGGACCTGGCCTGCAACCCAGGCATGTGCCCTGACTGGGAATCAAACCAGCGACCCTTTGGTTCACAGGCCAGCGCTCAATCCACTGAGCCACACCAGCCAAGGCTGTTAACTAAATATTGTTAACATTGCTGTGTCTAAAAGAATATAATCAACAATTTATGGGGCATACCAAAAAAAGGAAAACAGTTTTCCCCATAGGGTCAAAAGAGAATTGTTAAAATATATATGAATATATAAAACATAAACCTGTAATTCAGCTCAAAGTTCTAAAAACAAAGTTATAACTATATACCTTTAAATATATATTTACACAGCTATTTAACTTCTGGTTTTATCTACTCTGAAAACTGGTCAAATTTAATAATCCTATCTAAAATATCATTAATAATTAGCGAACGAGGTATTTGATTTCTTGACTATCACATCAGTGTTCAGTATATTTCAGCAGAGTAGGAAATCAGTTTAGTACAAATAGCAAAAAGAGAGCTGTATTCAAATTATGACACAGACTCTTCGGTTTCTTTTCCAGCTTCAGTTTAGCCATCTGTAAAATGCTGATAAAAATACTAATTCATTGGGTTGTTGTGCTTAAATGGGAAAATGCCTAGCAAACAAGCACCTCCAAAAACAGTAACTTTACAGGGGTATGCAAGAGGGGAAAGGAAGGGAAACTTAATGATGAGTTCTACTTCTAGTCTTACAAACTCCAGAACAAAAAATGATTCTAGGTCCCCATCATTACAGTGGTGCCACGATTTAATCATACCCCGGTTACCTACTTTCTATAACACTGAGGTTGGAGAACTACTTGTCACAGACGAGAAACCTCACATGGTACAGCCCTTCAGCTAATACCATGCTGCAAGCATGTCGGGAGGATGACATGAAGTCTCTTCAAGCAGAAATCCTGAAATACAGAAGTAATCTAAAACAGAGAGAACTGAATTGAAGCCAGCAAACTAAATCTGATCTTTCAGGTAAAAACAGAGGCCTGGTGAGTTATGGAATGAAGCATGAGAAAAAATCATGACCTGATTTAAGGAGCTAATGAGGAGTGCGTAACTGAAGTAAGGAATTCTAGTTCAACTGCTGAGTCCTCCAGGAAGATTTGGTGAAAATGTGAGCAGTGCTACCTCATGTCTATGAAGATGGGCTTTTTAAACTAAAATAACCCAATTTACCAATGATTCTCAACCAGAAAATCACTGTTCTGACAACAAGAGTGACAGACGTTTTTCCACTCTTGTTTTTCACCTATATTCTTTACTGATTCAAACTAGTTCAAACGTTTTCAACTTGGAGCAGTATTAATGCACTGCTTATTCTACTAAATGCTAAAATGCCATTTATATTTAGTGCATTTTAAAAGTTGAATCTGAGCCCCAATAGTTTACTAAATAAAAAGTCGTCATTCTTTAAAAGTAAAACTGGGCTTAGGGAACAACTTTCTGGTAATAAAAATAGCTTTTCCTCTGCCTTCCCTGTTACCCCTGGTGGTACTGATACCACCACTACGTGGCCTTCTGAGCTGAAAAAGATTCTGACTCGCACTCAATTACAATGCCAGAAAAAAGCTCCACAGAGACATTAGGCTTCTCAATTCATTTCTTCGCTAATACATGGCACTATTTTATCCATGCTCGTTTCAAAAGTTCTGAATCAGTCCTCATGAATTAAAGAAATGAGGCAGTGGGCAAACAAGTAAAAATTTTACGATTCACTGATTATCTTGTTTTAGAACCTACCTGTTAAGCTAACGGTTGTGTGCATGCATTTTTTAAAATGCTCGTTACTTTTATTAAAACAAAACAACCTAGAGATAGGGAATGTAACACAATTATCATCATTGGTCTATTTCATATACTCCAACTACAACTTCTAAAGTATGTTAAGTTTAACAGAAATCACAACAGTTTGAAGGGTCCTAATATAATCCTATTGCTTTACATTTAAAATGAGGAATTCTGGAAAAGCACAATACTACACAAACCACTATTCCAAAAGGATGCAATTATACATTTTTAATTTACATTTTGATACAATTTTGCTAACATTTCCTCAAGTAAATGTTTTAAATGCACCTTTAACAAGTTAAAGGGTCTTAAATTATTTACAAACATACATAAGCCAAGTAAGCATGGAAAAGCCAATAAGCCTTACTCAAAGAATTCACCCTGACTCCCTAGCATAGATGAGAAAACAGCACCCACGACCCCGCAGCTGGACTGTGACAGCAATGGCACCAAAATCCAGAAAACCAAATCTCATCTCATTCCTTCTTTCTGGTTGATTTCTGGTCTCATCTCGTCTTTTGAAACCTTTTTGATATTAAGACATAACTAAGCAAAAAAAAGCTCCTCCTTGAGTTTTATCTTAAAATAAATCAAATCTAAAAGTTTAAAGACTTTTAACAAGATGCTACATAAAAAGTATTTTAGTCCAGGGACGGCATATACTACCTTATCATCATCACCATTACTATTATTACCACCACAAGGAAAGTTACAAATTTTTTAAGTACATATATTAGCATATGAGACTGAAGATCCATATGACCCGTTTTTAACTTTTGCTTAATTGTCCTTAGTCCTCTTCACTTTAGACTGTAACTTTACACTATGATTTATTACCCGCCCACAATGACCTTGATTTTTTCCTCTAGTACTTTGATGGATTACTATATTGCAATATTTTCAAGTAATAACTAGTCAGGTTCTCTCAGTCCTAGAAATACAGACATCCTCTACTGACTCACACTGGATCATAAAACGTGACCCAAATATAGCCTGAGAAAGACCACAACTTTGAATGGACTGGCCAGTTAAAATCCAGTGACCTGTTATAGTGAATGGTAACAAGTGTAAACTGCTGCCATTTATGAGCCAGTTTCTCAAAACCACTCTAGGATCTAAGAGAGGGAGGCAGAAGGTCAATAAAGGAGTAAACTATTTTCTCCTACTGATCCTATACAGTCTCACCCCAGCGATCTGGAAATGAATGAAAGGCTATGGTAGCATAAATCCGAGATGCCTGCGCGCAGGTCTCGGATCCGGGGTACAGAGAGGTAAACACTAGTTCACAGGCGAGAAATTCAGACTTAAATTTAAAAAAAGAAGAAGAAACGAAAGAAAGAAAGAAAAACCTTACCCAAACCACCTCGACTAGAGCAGGAACTCTCCCACCACTAGGTAATGGGAGGAGCAGCTGGCGGGCAGTCGCAGTTCTGGCTGAAGATGCTCTGAAGAAGGCCAGGCCAGGGGTGAGCGGGGCACCCAGAACTCCCGAGGCTCCGCGCGGGTGCGTGAGACAGGTGCAGGGAGGGGGCAGGGCGCGGGGCGGGAGCGCGGCCAGGTGAGGGCGGCGGGCGCGGAGGAGCTGCGGGCGGGGCCCAGGGAAGGGTGGCCTCGTCGCCCCCGCGCCTGCACACACTCACGGACACCGGCTGGCTCTCCTCGCGCCGCCCTCACTCCTGCGGCCGCCTGCGGCTCCTCCAGCTCCTCCTCCTCCAGTACCTCCGCCGCCCAGGCGGGCCGCGCTCCTTTTCCGCTTCCGGGATCCCGTACTCCAAGTCGGCGGGGTAAGGATCCGCCTGCGCCGCGGTGGGACGGGCTACTGCCGGCCGGGACCCGCTTTGCACGCCCGAGAGCAGCGATGGGAGCCGCCGAGGGCCGAAAGACCAAAAATTGCGGCGTGGGCTGGAGGAGACGCGCCTGGACCTAGGCCGGCCCCACGCCTGGCTGGACCTCCCATCACCCTACTACTCGTACCTGAAGCCGCCGGGCGCCTCGGCCCACCCTCACCTCCAACCCGTGCCACCCTCCCAGCTCAGCCTGGACCGACCACCTCTTTGTCCCCACACCCTCACCAGCTCCTTCTCTCACGGGACTGGCGAGGAAGGAGCCTTTCTTAAAGGATTACATTTACCCTCGTCCTTTAAGGACGAGTTGCTCAACCGGCCAGTTTAACGTCCTAAATCTCCTGTGATATCTTGCTTCACAGTGTAGTCCGCAGCACCAGCATCCTGTGGGAACTTGTAAGAAATGCACAGTCTTAGTCCTGCTTACTCAGTCAGTATCAGCCTTTAACACCGTCTCCAGATGATCACTACATCCGCACCTTAAAGACTGAAAAGCACCGGATTCTAGTTAATGGTCTTGCCCACTTCAGACTCTCTATGGGGCAAAAGCCAATGTTACCCCACCCAGCCAAGATTTTTCCTTCCTCTCAACAACCTAAACTCAGACCCAAATAAATTTTCTTGGGATTTCAAGAGACATCCAAAAAAGTTGCCGGCTTTCCCATCCTGCAACCTAGGAAAAATAAATGGACCCACGATAGCAAATAATACACCTCCCAGTGTAAATTGGTATCTTATCAGACACCAGTGAAACACTAAAACCTCCCTCCTATCTCCTCCCTCACCTCAACTGAACAGTAGTTTGGGAAGGTTAAAATGATTGCCATAATCTGCAGGTAAATATTTGTGCCTGCATGCCACAGGAGATAACGTGTTGATGGAAGCACGACCTGCTGCATAAAATCTAACTCCTTACACTATGTCATTGAAAGCCCTTCACAAAGTGGTCCCTACCACCATCGCCAGTTTTAGCTGTAACTACTAACTTGGTTCATTTACCCATCCAGAATGCCCTCCATCTTCCACTCTGATGATCTTAATTCTGTCCAAACTTTGGAGTTAGCTCAAATCCTGCCACCCCAAAGTCCTCTCTCACCACTGCACTTACACACATTGTAGCTTATTCTGGTCCCTTATGTTATTTTGTCTTGCTAAGTATTTTAAAATGTGTTTCGTCCTAGTTTCTGAATTCATTCAGTTACAGACACCTTAGAACCTTAGAGGTCTAGTCAGTGGTTATCAAAGTGTGGCCCCCACACCAGCAATATTGACATCACCTGGGAACTCGTGAGAAGCTTCATATTCTCCATCTCCACCCCAGATCTACTGTATTAGAAACATGAGGGTGAATCCCAGTTATCTGCATTTTAACAAGGCTTCCAAGTGACGCTCAAGGCTTTCTAGTGGACACTCAAGGTTTAGAATTATTAACCTAGTGTATAGTCTCTAGGAACTAGAGATTACCTCCAAAGGAACTCAATGGTTGGGATTTATGCAAGTTGGAACTCAATGCTTGTCTATATGCAAGTTTTTCTGCCTTTCAGATTAAGAAATAAAGTGCTCAATTCATGCATAACTACTTAGAAGGCCATGACGCTTATTTTTGAAAGAATTATCTTTGATTTTCACAATGCATTTTATGTAGTAGGATATTTGTAACTTGGTTTGTTCAAAAAGAAATAATGCAGATAATTAGTCACTTTAGGGGAAGAGGAAATATGTTGAGTTTTACCTCCTACAGTCACATAACTGAGTTGCATAATGTTAATCTCTTAGCATATCCTTGTGATACATAGTAATTTGTGGCAAATAACCTCATCAGGTGCCCAAAAGAGAATTAGTGGGCAGGCACATGAATGCACATGACAATTGAAAGTGCACATATTTTTCAAGCTTTTTCTTATGAGTTAATTTGTTTCTTTTTGGCCAAATCAATACCACAGAGAATTTTCTTCAAAAGGCATGGAAAGAGAAGTAGCAGGAAGAACATTCTGCAAATCACAAGCCTTTTTAGCATGGGAAGTCAAGAAGTATTATCAAGGACCTATCTATATCTATTCTTTATACTGAAAGTCAAGTTATCTAGTTCTATCATTCATGATAAACATGACTATTTGTATTGCAACCCATATGCTTAGAGAGATGTGGCACCATGTAATCTTTTGGGGAGTTTTTCTATTTACTATAAGGATGGAGAGAAGATGTATGTCATGCACTATTTTTTTCCTTCCACAAGCCTAGTCTACTTCATGGTGCCTGTGACTGATGGAACATGATTATTAATCAAACTAATACTTATCTGAGAATTGAAAAAATAGACAAGGACAAGTAGCATGGCTGCCACTGCCAACTTGGCTTCTCAACAAAGGCATAGTCAGGACATTTGCGTGGACAAGCTCAGCCAACTCCTGTGCTTCTGTGCCATGACTGGGAAGGGCTGGATTTTACTGCAATTTCCAAAAGTGAGTGCAAGTACAGTCCAGAGTTTAATCAGTACTGGCTAATAGCCCTCGGCGGCTTTGGGTGGATGGTGTTCTCCACCTGTCCATCTGGGTATCATGTCCTAAGCACCCACATTTGATGCACATTCATGATGTCTTGGTTGCTTACAGTCATCTTCCTCATCTGTTTGAATGGCAGAGTGCCCATTCCACCATAGTCTGATATTCTAACAGTAGTCTTTAACCTCTTTTGGGTTACACATGTCTTTTAACATCTGTGGAAAGTTGTCGGCCCTCTTCTTAACCAAGTATACACACATACACACTGACACACAATTATGTAAATTTGTACATACATATTTATATATGAAGTTTCACAAAGCATTCCACCTTCCCACATCTTCAGAGGACCACAGCGAAGTTGTGAACGTCAGGTTAAGGACTTGTCCTACAACATAGAAAGTAGGTAAGCTTTTTCTTCAAAAACAAGGATAACTCTAAAAAACTACTGTGTACATGGGAGACAGAAAAGCAGTGCTACACAGTTACCAGCAAAGCGCTATGGGAGTGCAAAAGAAGCAGCCAGTAGTGTCAGCAGGGTGATTCGGGATAACTTCCTAGAGAAAAGTTCTTATGTCAGAAAAGTGATAATGGGATTTTGATAAGATCAAAGGATCCCTCCAGAATGAGGGAAAGTGTAAGCAAAGGCATAGGGGGATGAAAGTACAGTGGTCCACCTCGTGTGGTTCAAATGCAAATTACATGGAAAGATAGAGAGGGGAAGGGGAAGGAAGAACAGAATCAAATCCTGATGAGCTTCAAATACAATGTGATTTTCAATGAGGAGCCATTAAGCTTTTGGAGGAGAGTAATCTAATCTGGAAAGACTATTAGTGAGGGCAGTAGCACCCTTAAAAGGCACAGTGGCAGGAACTTGGAAATGTTTCTAATGTCCTAAATTGGAACCTGTTAGTGAAGCCACATGGCTTTGTCTCAGCTTTTCAGGGTTGCTTGATGTTTGCTCTAGAGATTTCTCTTTTTAAAAAATTTCATTTATTTATTTTTACAGAGAGGGGAAGAGAGGGAGAAAGAGAGTGAGAGAAACATCACTGTGTGGGAGGAACATCGATCAGCTGCCTCCCGGAAGTGCCCCATCGGGGAGACTGGGCCCACAACCCAGGCATATGCCCTGACCTGGAATCAAACCAGTACCCTTTTGCTTTGCAGGATGATGCACAACCAAATGAGCCACACCAGTCAAGGCTCTAGAGATTTCTATTAACTTAAATGAAAATGAGCCTGAGATGCTCACAGTTAGTGAAGTACCAGTGGTAAAATGTATCCTGGTAAATGATCAGGTGAGTTTAGAGTCCAGGATTTTAAAGAGTTAAAATCTGTTTGAAGTGCAAAGACAAGTAGTGCAAATGACAATCAGCTTGGACTGAAATGAGAAAAGAAGCCCTGCCACTAATTTTGGGTTGGGAGAACAGGTACAGATAAAGCCATCTGCGGTTAATATCAAACGCTGTTTCTGCCAAGGTCATGCAGCAGTTATATAACGCATTACCATAACGACCTCTCTTTGGCTGATGACTGACCAATGATGCCCTGGACCACTTGCTATTTTCATGCATTACTAGGGAATCTCAATTTCTCAGCCACCTTCACCTCATGATAGCACCCAATTCCTAGCTAATTCCCTCTTTCTTAATCCCACCTCAAAACAGCTAATCCAAACCAGATCTCTCCTTCTCTTAGATTATCTTCAAGATGAAGATAAATTACAGAAGATGCCTTGCTCCTTCTTTGCTGGTGCCTTCCCTCCTTGCAAGGCAATAAGTTTTATTTTGTCAGGCTACAGGCTTGTCCCTGGCAGTCCTTGACTCATTAAGTTTTAACAACCCATTTGATAATGAACGCTACCCATAGTCAGGATTCAAAGCCAAGGTTCTTCAGGAAAGAGGTCTCCTTTTCTGTGTCAGTGGCACAGTATAGTAGCTGCCATTCCCAGCCACGAAATTCATCAGCTTCAGTCTTCCAAAATAAAAGGAAGTGTGCTTTGGACAGGTCACCGGAATCCCTCATCCTTTGGAGAAATTTGGATCAAGTTATAAGGCGGAGTACTTTTAAAAACTATTTTTGTGGCAACTTTATGGCATAAATATACTCCAGAAAAATATATATAACCAAAGACAGATAACTTGAGACTTGACCCTTTGAGAGAAAACTGTAATTCTTTTATGTTCTATTCAGAGCTCACTGGCCTACTAAATTTCAAAAGTAATACACATATACATTTATCATAATTGTTTCTCACCAGTTAAATACCATGATATCTAAATGGTAGCACTAAATGTGGAGTCAAATTCTTCTGTGAAACAGAAATTTTTAGTTATGATGTCAAAATGCCTTGTAAAAGCAGTCCATTTGAAGATCAGTACAGTTGTCAGCACTCAAATTTGTATTCCTGAAGGGCTAATAATTCACTTGTGAAAAGTACATAAGATTTTTAGC